ATCTGTTGCAGAGTAATTGAAAGTAATTTGTTTTGGTTGAAAGTAATTTGTTTTGGAGAGTAATTAGATTATCTCTTGGGGGGCTTCCTACCTGGTGACCCAGTGTTTCTCCTTGGCTTGCTGCTTATTAACATCAATTACCATAGAGACACTCTTCAAAGGAAAGCTTGCACTGCCCAGGGTGGGGAACCTATTAAGAAATATGCTTCTCATTCCTGCTAGGAGATAATAAACCTTCTGATGTCAAACAATTATTTGTGGGTCAGATACATATGGTCCCACTGGGGCTTAAGCCTTTCATTTGCCATCCAGTGTGAAATGCTTCGTAATTAGGAAATGAGCTACATCTTTCTATAACGGTGTATGTTAACGTGAATGTAACAGGCTCAAGCAAACTGCTACGTAACATTTGTGTTTACTAACACTGCCAAAGCAGTAAGGGGGACTAGTAGGCAGCCTACTCTGGAAAAATACAAAAAGACACATATTCCACACTTGCAGAGGTACTGGGATGGCAAACAAAATATGTCTCTGTAGGGGAAAGTGCAGAGAGACTCAAAAGTTCATGCTTTGACTCTTGTCCCCAGAATCAACTCTTTTTAGCTGAGGCAATTAATATGGTTATATATATGACACGGCACTGATAAGCATCATAATAACACCAGTATCTTTTTTTTTTTTTTTCTGTAATCATGTGAGCTCTAGATGAGTCATTGCCTGACTGTGACATTTACTGGTAGCGATTACATCATTACTACTATGCCATCCTACAGAACATCACAAAGTAAACAAGAACCATAATGATCCACCTTTTGAACCATGTCTCTTTTTCAGACACAGCAAATCTGAACAGTAAATTGCCCCACTTCTGCATTAATTTTACAAACGTTCAGTCTAAAACTTTCCTGTGTTACATCTGATCTTTGTGCTGCTTGGGCAGTAGAAAAAGGTTATGGAGGGAGCAGAAATGGCCTTTAAAGGTAAGGTTTGGTTGTTGGGGCTTCCCTGGCTGTGTAGAAGCCCTAGTGTCACTGAAAGCCCCCGGGCCAGCCCTGGGCGTGCAGGATGAGCTGGGGCTGACCACGGGGAAGCTGGGGGAAAAACATGGTGAAAATGTCCTCGTTCTGCAGCTGTTGATGACTACCTGCAGCTGTCCTAGTCCCTAGGGAAAGGAGGACAGAAAGTTGGGGCAGCCCAAGAGTCACGTTGAACAGGAATCACCACCAGTGCTTGTAGTCATCAAAACCCACTCTGTTAGGTGATACTGGCTCTCACGTTTTAAATACGCAAGTCCTTTAAATCTCTTTTCTGAAGAGCTGCTAAATGCTAACATCTGAAGTAAATAACTGCCATTTTTTTTTTTTTTCATTTGTCTTGTTTGAGTAATTAGGTCATTATATCTGAAAGTGATTGTTTTATGCGTGCCAAGAGCGAATAATGAAGACCTTTGATGAATCCAGCGAGCAGCATGTAAATGTGGGGAAGGAATGCAGAGGCAAATGAATGACCTTTCTGAAAGAGAATTTCTCCCTGCGCCACCATTTTATCTGCATTAAAGTCAGTTAATGCGTTTACTTTTTCCTGCTGTGTATATTCTAGTTGATTCCTCAGTGCTTCCTTTTCCTAATAAAATGCACATTGTGCAAAGTGTTTGCAATGTTCTTTAAATAGGCTACTGTGGGCCTGTTTATGAGCCAGCCAGTGGCTGCTTGTATAGAGCTAAACATTTCCTCTTCCCATAGTTTTCAAGGAGTGCTTAGAACTTAAGTATTTTTTCAGACTGCGTTTACATAATTTTGATATCAATGCTGAGTTATGGATGGTCTTTAGCCACCTCTCCAGCCCCTAAAAATTAATTTAAATGAAAGTAAACTAGTTTTATTACCCATGATGGCGCTAATTAAAAAATAAAAGACAAGGACTGAACAAGCAATGGAAAATAAATAACCTTTTGTTTCTCAGGACTGATCCGCACAGGAAAGGGTGGATCGACTGCTTCCACTTAGCTGCTCATGTGAGCAAGTACAGGATGTTATTCTACAGCCCCATGAAACCAGATCAACTCCATGGCGCTCACGTTATAAATCAAACCAAGTAAAGCAAAGAAACTGGAAATATCATGAGAAGACTGGCAATGATTTTGTTTTGCAGGCCCTTTGAGCCCAGGGTGGGAGGAGAGCTGCTTGTGCCTGTGAGCATCTTTACCAGTGTGCACGGATGCTGGTGCAAGGGTACTCAGTGGAGGGAGGGTGCCCTGACCCTTGCGATGTGGCCGATGACCTTGTAATCCTGTCTCACGTCTGCTGGCTGCCAGTGGGAAATAGAATTCAGTCCTTCAGCAGCACGGCTGGTTGTGAGTGAGGATGCCACAGGAAAATTAAGGTATCCTGAAAAGGGAAGGAAATCATAGAATCATAGAATCGTTAAGGTTGGAAAAGACCCTTAAGATCATCGAGTCCAACCGTTAACCTATCACTGCCAAGCCCACCACTACCATGTCCT